AATTCATATAAAAGCTCTAGCAAGAGGTCTGCTGGCCCATGCAGAACCATCCCAAAAGAATTTACAAAAGAAAAGGCCTTCTTACATTCTAGAATCAGTGATAGCTTTAGGTTATCATTGCCATCTTGTGGATCATTTGAAAGTAACAGCCCCCAGCCCCCCCACACTGGAAGTTACAGCCTCATCAGGCTATTGGGCAACTTTGCTCTAATGGCCTGAAGGTGCTCACCAACATCTCATATAGTTCAGCAATTTTTTCTAAGCTGACTTCAGTTTGTGGTCTAGGCTCACGTTTAGGATTCCAGCATTGGATCAAGAATTACCCAGGATCAAGTATTGTTATTTGCTTGTCTATAAAACGTAATGGCATACTGAGTTCACTATACTCAAATAACCTCCACAGTCACCAGTTCTCAATCCAACGGGAGATTCACATCATGGATGTGCAGCTGACAAATCTGCAGCAACTGCGTATTAATGTGAATATCAAACAAAATCTCTGAGGAATGGTTCCAGCACCTTGAGTGTATGTCATGAAAATAACCCAGCTCATCAACAAAAAAAATGCAGTTTAAACATCCGGAGAAATGAGGATAAGGGAAAGAGAAGTTGAGAAAGAAAAAAGGGGAGAAAGAAATCGAGAGAGAGAGAGAAGTGAGATCATAAGTTTTAGCTGAGAAATGTAAAAAAATTGGTATGTCATAAGGAAAACTAGTATACAGTATTGGATGAGTCAGGACTGAGAATGACAGCAAACGGAAATAGAGACACTGCTGGAAAAAAAGAAAAGAGGAAGAACTACTGGAACAATATCAGGAGGGAAGTTGATATCAAAAGTGTATTTATGACACATTTTGTTTATATCGTAACATGCTATGCAAATGCATGGTTTTGCTTGCATTAAATACACTTGTAATAGTTTATGTGTGAATGTATTTGTAAATGTTCTAAAAGATGTATTCATACATGATCGTCTGAATCATAAATCTCCGTAGACATCGTGACCCCCAGTGAAATCTGTGTGGGTGTCTGTGAGTTGAGAATTACCCCCTCCCACGGCTCACCGCGGAACAACAAGAAATGACAAATTGTACATCACCACTTTGCCCCGCCTCCACTCTTGTGGTTTTCCCCCCATGCAGTTGACACAGAGGATCATGGAAGTATCGCGACAGGGTTTGCTAGACTTACTTAAAGAAGAAGCACATGGCCAAACTAAGAAAATCACCGAGTACTTCTTCTATACACTGGGTTTCAAAAGTCTGAAACCATATTAAAAATCTGGAACTCGAAATGTAGTCAATCTGGATTTTTTTTTTCCTTTAAATATTTGAAACAAAGCAACTATGGTGTAAAACGAGAAAAAAATATTTCTGATTCTGCACTATTTCTAATTTGCAACATTGATCATGTGAACTGCTTTTCCAATGATCAAGATGCTCTTTGAATCATCTCAAATAATGCTGAATGATCATCAGGTTTTACACAAAGGTTTTCACAGTTGTGTACAAATTGAATGCAATGATTTCAAACACTTCCGTGTTATTTACAATTAAATGAAAATATATGTAGAGAGTAAACTACTACGCAATTTATATCAAATGCAGTTAGTTAACTTAAGAGTGTTTTTTACTTAAGTACATTTTATATGTAATTTCATAATGACTTCTGCTGTCTTTAAAATACTGTATGGTTAAAGTGTACTGCTGAAAGTAATGACAAGCATTTGAAATATACTTTCATATTATTTCCATTAAAATGTGTACGTCTTGTATTTAAATATACTGTATATGCAATTACACATTTGTTATGATGAAACAATTTAGTAGACATAATATTCATTTTAAATGTAATAATTCTAACTATAATCAAGTACTTGTGCTTTATGTTAGTCAACACATCAAAATAACTATTTATTTAAAGCATGATAAAATACTTTAAAGTAAAATGTTTAATTTTACATTATTACAAAATGCACTTTTTCAAGTTTACTTAGGATGCTCTTAATGTACATTTAAGTGGCCTTTTATTTCATTAATATTATATTACCTGCAACTAGTTTTTTTTGTGTGAATATACTTTCAAGTACAATACAAGCGCCCATTTAATACAATTAAGCTCACTTCTTTTTCATAAGGACATGCATCTCTAGTGCTGCTGTCAATAAAATAAAAGGAAGACAAACCGAATAGTAAGACATTCTTAAAAATCATATCTATTTTCAACATTTATGCTGATTATAGAATGAAAATAAATATATTGAATTGTATTTTAAATTAAATAGGTAACCTGCATTGGCTCTCTATAATTACCTCTATAATTATGTGAATATATGTATGTATGTTCCTATATAAAATGTTTTTATCTATGACAATTAACATCACTTGAGAGAGAGTGAGAGAAAAGAGTGACGTGAGAGAAAAGAGTGACGAGAGAGAAAAGAGTGACGAGAGAGAAAAGAGTGACGAGAGAGAGAGAGAGAGAGAGAGAGAGAGAGAGCAATGGAGAAAGGAAGTGTTGCTCAACCCAAAACTTCTGGCGAGAAAAAAACGTGAAGTGAGATGCTCATGTGGTGCAACTGCGGTTTGCATCACCAAATAAACCTCATCATTTCTACTCACTGTAAACTATATATATCACCTTACACAACAGCTAGTCTGAATGTGTGGCATCATCTGTTAAACGATGGTCATATGATTAACTCAACACCCAGTGACAGAATGATACATGTCTAAGACCTCATCTCTTCACAGCAACTGAAATTGCTGAGTGTCATTAGAATGGATATTCCCTCACAAAAGGAGAGACAACGGAAAAATGTTTTGTAGTATTCGGATAACCCAGGTTAGACAGACTGAAAGAAAGTAAAATCAATAAACACTGGGAATGTACGAGAACAATCCAGAGGATCTTTTTATTGTTCAATATATTTTAGTTGTTGCTCAAAACAAATTGTGAGCCATGTACTAAAACTGAATTTCACTTACCATGTTTGCGTGCCATTTTCTGACTTGCAGGCCAGAAATGTTTTGGATAACTGTAAATAAATGAATACATAAATAAGCATTTATTTACATGATTATTAAACCTCTTCTGATTTCCACAAGCAGCAGGAAATGCAGAAAATTATAAAAGAAGAAAATTCAAGTTTGTTCAGCAATATATCAACCACAACATGAAAACCACAGACAGGTGACGTGAATAACATTGATTATATTGTTACAATGGCACCTATCAAGGGGTGGGATATATTAGGCAGTAAGTGAACAGTCAGCTCTTGAATTTCATGTGTTGGAAGCAGGAAAAATGGGCATGCAAAAAGACCTGAGTGACTCGGACAAGGACCAAACAGTGATGGCTTTACGACTGGGCCAGAGCATATACAAAACAGCAAGTTCCTGGAATGCAGTGATGAGTACCTACCAAAAGTATAGTGCAAAAAGGACAACCAGTAAACTGGTGCCAGGGTCATGGGCATTCATGTGGATGTTACTTTGACACAAACCACCTACCTACCTAGACCATGTCCACTCCTTCATGGTAATGGTGTTCCCTGATGTCAGTGGCCTCTTTCAGCAGGATAATGCAGACTGTCACACTGCAAACATTGTGCAGGAATGGTAACAGAAACTTTGACAAAGAGTTCAAAGTGTTGCTTGGCCTCCAAATTCCCCAGATCTCAATCCGATTGTGCATCTATGGGATGTTCTGGACTAACAAATCCAATCCATGGAGGTCCCAACAGGATAAAAGATGTGCTACTGCAAATAAATGTACAGGGGATATAGGGGTGCAATGCATTAGTTCTAGAGCAAGTGAAACGATGATTTTAATGTGTTTTTAATACAGATGTTTCGAATTTACAGATATTGTGGTCTCCTTATTTGAGAAGGTACTTTTTGTGAATTTATGCCCCAGCTGGTCATGGGGCAAAACAGAATTTGTATTTTCATGTAGAAAGCAGCTGTTGAGTAAGACAACGTCAGAAAGAGACAGAGACTAGCTCATGCAAGGAAGCTCGGGAGGGTCTTCCCCATAGGGACTGTCGTGTGAGTTTCCATGTCTTCATTGGTTGTAAAATGTAATGCAACTACAATCTACACATTAATTTATGCATTAGTATACTTTTATGATTTTTTTTCTGCAATGCATTTGAAAACACTCCCTGATGTCAGATATACAACTCTATTTTGAGAGGGTATCATTTGTTTTAAATATACAGAACTAATATCGAATATCTTTTAACTGATGCTTTGAAATGAGTTTTGCATATCATTAACTTATTCACATTCTATCAAAAGCATCTATACATCCTAATATAGGATAGCTCGTTTGTCTCTTTTAACAGTTTTTGTCAGTGTCTCTACATTTGTTTATTTATTTATTTTTTGTTTAGTCCGTTTAATTGTCATTTCGTTGTAACACCATCAGTTTAAGCAATTGGAAACGAGTTACAGTGAAATCAGTGAAAGCGCCATCTCTCTGAGGGGCAGCAGAAGTTGACATCTCTGGAAAAAAACATAAAGAAATAAAAAGATAGACCTATATATCCAATACATGACAATACAGCACAATTTTCAAGACTATACTGTACTTCTTGGAATTGTTTGACTAGCTACAGGCGTACTGAAAAAGAAGAACTAACACTGGCATTCCCAAAAAGAGCGAAACCGAAACGATAAGAGCGAATATAAGATGTTACCCCCGGTGCATCATCATCTCAAATCACTGCTGGCGACCGAGTAATCAAGTGCTGCTTTTCAAACAGAGGTAAGAGTACCAGACTCAAAGTGGCTTAACTGTAAGCATAATATCCTGTGCGTTATTATAAATAGTTCTACTGAGGTTGATCTCTGACGTGAAATGTGATTAATAAACAGGTTGGCGGAAGAAACTGTGATAGCCCGTGTTTTATGATACATCGTTGTAACTGCATAATATTGAAGGTAGGTCTACCACTACTTTGAATGATCTGACAGTTTCACTCTCCATTCTCCCAGATGTCTCGGTGGTGTCTGACTCCTCTTTGCATCCTCATCCTCATCTGTATGGTGTCTACAGTCTCCTCCTCCCCTCTTGGCCGCAGGGGAGCGCTGTCCTTCTCCAATTCTCTGCGCCTCACTCGCGCTATTCGCGCACGTGTCCAACAAGTGCTGTCTCGCTACGTAAGATAACGAAACACTGTTTGCATAGAAACCGTAACATATTAACGACAATATTATTAGTATTGTAACATTATATTATTATCCAGTTTGTATCTAAATGTTAATACAATGCGGTGTTTTCACAGAAACAGCAGCTGTTTGGTGACGAGCTGTTTGAATACAGAGAGCTGATGTTGAGCACACTTCCAGCGGTCACTGTGACTTATCAGACCTGGCTACACATGCAGGTGCGGAGCATATCTTTAGCTCGTATTTAGTTATTTTACTGCATGACAATATTTTCTAATAGTATTTGTATTGGTCAGGACAATGAGCGTTTGCATTTGGCCTCTCACAACCTCCAAACCTTCTGGACTCACCTGGAAGGTCAACGGCTGCAGCTGGAGAGAGAGAGGGATGCGACGAAAGAAAGAAGAGAGCAGAGAAGAGGCAAACGAGGAAAGCCTCAGCCCAACTTGTGCCAAAGTTTTGTTAGTCTGCAAATAGATCTGCGGGACTTAATGAAACAAGTCAACTCTCAGGTACAAGTGCACACTTGTTAGATACGTAATAACTTCCCAGCCCACAGTAGGTAATTCGGTGACACAATGTCACAACTCCCCTGAGCAACGCATCATGACCCCTCTTTAAGTTGCAAAACAAGGGGGCTCTTACCAGAATATCTACAAAAATCCCAAGGGGATTTTTTTAGGGTATATAGAAACTATTTGTGATCTATTTAAATCTAAGAATACTAACATTAAAGACTTTGGAATGTAGCCTAGTGTTTAGTCATATTTGTCTGGTCTGTCTTGTGATCTCTGTGTGATAATTTTTTAACTGGTTGGCTATATAAAGTCCACTTCTTTATTCAATTTTTTGTAATACTTCTAAATATTAATATTACATTAGAATATTACTAATATTATTAGAATATTACAATAATTATGTAATGTTCTAAAGCCAGGGATTCAGCCACGTGTCAGATATGAATTATATATATATGTATATATATATATAAACTCCACTAAGTGTGTTACCAAGAAAATCTAGCGTTTTGGAACAAAAACAACATGCTGACAGATTAAATGATGTTTAATCATGCAGATTACTAATGCTTTCTCTCTGTCTATCTGCAGTTAAACAGTCTGAGGGTCACTGCATCCACAAGGTCCCCACTTCTCCATACCCTACACTCAACTTCATCTTCCAATCCGATTCCCAGCATGCATCATTCCACAGAGAGCACCACTGTACTCCAGACCCCAACTCAGATGAATAATCCTCACAGTTCCACACACTCCTCTACTTCAACAATGGAGGAGACCTCTGTCAGCCTCCAACAACCCACCCAGGCATCAGCAGCCTCTATTTTCACGGGAAGCCAGCTATCTGTGGATACCCAGCAGACAACAACAGCAGAGACGTCCCGTTGGATTCAGCATCTGAGAGGGTATGTGATACTGAGAGATCTGGAACGGTACTTGAGCAGATTGTCACGAGATTATGCTGTGCTCCAAGCTAAACACTGACAAACATGCATAAGCAAATCAACAAAGCTGGGGGAAAAGAAGAAGAAAAAAAACAAGTACTGCACAAGTATTACACAGGATTGAATTATAAAACAAAACCAAGGAAATACATAATTGAATACACTAACATTCATATCCTTAAACATTTTCATGTCACAGTTTCTGTTTACCTTGCTCAGTAATTATTTTATTTATGAAAATAATTACTAGTTTTTTATTTACTGTTTGTTTACAAGTAACTGAACAGATATTTGCCTTAATGTGTGAAGACTTTTTTTTTTTTAAACTGCATTTCTGTATTTTATATTTAAGTATTTGGAGCATTTTCCACGTGTTGGATAAGTCTCAGGGGGGTGAGCACATCAGCAGGCAGCTATTGTACGTTATGAAATTGCCAAGCAGTGTTATTTGACCACAAAGTAATTTTAGTTAATAAAATTATTACTTGAATGTATATGGCTCTGTTTGAAGGGTAAGCACGTAACAAACAGCAAATTATTTTGTTTACATTGGACAATTTAACTGAAACAAAGAAAGGGTTAGTCAGCCATTCTGGAAGATCGAAATTCCCCAAACACCCCACTTCCCTCCTCCACTGATAATCAGCGAATCAGAGGTCAGAATGAGATTAATTTTACATCCCCTTTTTGTTTTCATTCCCCTGTACTTTCCACCTTGTCTTATTTATTAAATTATTTATTTTATTTATGTGAAATACGTGCCAAATATTTTTCATACAATATTTATTGTTCATAAATAAATGCATATGTACTTCAGTATATGTACTGAATAAAATGACTAAGAATCACTTGTAGTGCATGTGTATTTGTGTGTGTTTTTTTTTTTGCATACAACAGATGGTAAGTGAAGTCATACTGAACACTTGATGCAGACATGTGACTGATCTCCGTTTCAAAACACCTGAAAAAGCAGGATTTTTTTTGCATCTTTCTGAAGTCTTAGAGATTTAACAAAGCAAACCAAAAATAACACATTAAATATAATGCATTTAATCTTTTTTTTTTTCCAAATTATTCAGTAACAATTGAGTTATAAAACATTGCGTTGATAAGTACTGGTGTTATTTGTAAAGCACTATGCTTTTGTATTTAAATTTTAAAAGATCATCTAGTTAATAAGAACTCTTAAAATACTCTGTAGTATATCTGCATAGTAAAGCTTGAATTATTAACATAACTGAAAAAACTAAGATTAATTTAATTGGTCAGATGAGAGAAAATACAAAATGAACTCATTTAATTAAAAATCTTCATTAAAGCATAATCTAAATTCAGTAATCAGAAAAAAAAGATTGCAAATGTCCTTTAACATACACTTGCTAACATGCTTTTGGAGTGAGACTGAAATGAATCATAAAAGGGTAGTCTGGCTCTGTGTAGTGATTGGCTAAACCACTCCTATGAAATGATCTGTCTGCTGCTGGTGAGCTGTCATTGGCTGTTCATGAGATTCGTGGGGTGGTCTGGAAAAGAGAGACCAGGGTAATCATGTTTACTTGAAAACAACATTTGCAAAATAATCAATTTTATTTTAACCCCTCTGAACTCTCCTCCTTAAATCCTTTTTTTCCTGCCAAACTCTTATAAACATTTTTGTTTCTCTACCCTTCTAACCAAAACCACTGCATTCTTCAGCCCTGTATTTCTTTATCAGTAAATGTGTGATTCTCACCACAGACAAGTGTCCATTCTTGGTCTTGACAACTCGCAGGTCCGAACCACTGGTGAAATCTATCACTCCCTCCTTTCCCCTCGCTATGGCAAACCTGATACTGGAGAGTAAAGCATCATCAGATTGAAAACTGTAAACATGCATATACTGTACATATACATGCTGTAAACTAAACTAAAATTAAATACAAATACAATGACAACACAAAGATAAAAATATACACACTTCTGTTCAAAAGTTTGTGGCTGGTACGATTGTTTCCAGTGTTTTTGAGAAGCCTCTTATGCTCACCAAGGCTGCATTTATTTGTTCAAAGACACAGTAATGTAACTTTGATCCTATGATGGAAAAGCCACTACTACAGTCTCAGTGTCATATGATCCTTCAGAAATCATTCTAATATGATGATTTATTGCCCAAAAACATTCATTATTGTGCTACATTAGTGTGTTGTGCTACTTAATATTTGTGTGGAAACCATTATTTAATTTTTTATGATTCTATGATTAATAGAAAGTAAAAAGTATTTATTTTATATAAAAATCCTTTGTAACATTATAAATTCTTTACTGTCACTTCTCATCAATTTAATGTACCCTTGCTGAATAAAGTATTAATTTATTTATTTAAAAAAGAAAATCTTACTAACCCCAAACTTTTGAATGGTAGTGTATTAAAAAAATTAGCACAAGACTTGGTGATGTAGACAGAATTTTGCTATTCAAGGGATCCTGGATTGAAAACCCACAAAGAATGCAACTTTCAATACATCAAGAAAATTTCAGATCGTCAGAGAAATGAAGTAAGATGTATGCAGGGACGGTGCTCATGCTTTTCTAGAGAACATCACCACCACTCCCAAACACTATTACAGGTCTATTACTGGATTTGCCTCTGTGTGTGCGCTGCACACACACGCACACACGCGCACACACCTGTCCTGGCTGATGTTGACATTGTGTATCTTGTCTGCCATGATGGCCAGCTTGGTGACAGCCTCAATCACATGATCGCATTGCAGCACCAGGTCACCCTAAAGGTCAGAAGGTCAAAGTGAAACAACTGCACAACCAATACAATCACAAATCATAACAGTGCTTCTCTCACCTTCTGCTTACTGTCAGTGGAGGGAATATGCAAAACAAAGAATCCATCACTGAGGGAACTAAGAGAGATACCTACAAAAAGAAACAAACCAAGATTGTATAGTATTGTGTAAAGTGTTACCCAGAAAGAGATTAATGGAGCACTGGTTGTGTGTCACTGATGAGAATTTATGGGTTGAGTACTAGGGAAGAGTATGATTACCCAAGAATTAGATACGGTGAAAAACAGGAGTATGAAACTTTAATAAGCTTGGTTGTAGTACAGTATTGTTAGGCAACAATGGAGAGAGCTTTATTACAGTAACATTACCCAGCAATGTGCCGTAGTCGATACGTTGTTTGATTTTTGCTTCCTGGACCAGCACAGCAGATGAAGTGGTCAACAGCAGCTGACGCATACGAGCGCGGAAACCATGGCGATCGTACTTAGTGACCGCTACACCATACTGAAAAATAAAAGAATATACAATAATATTCGCAACCCATCTAATATTAACATAAAAATGATAAATACTGGCCATTGTTTTGTGGCAAGGTGGATCTGCAGGAGCCATTTATACTTTTTATTTTATTTTTTTGTCCATATTGTCTAATGTTTTTTTTTTTCTGGAGTCTGTGTGCGCCCTCTACAGGAGAAACAACAGGATGAAGCCTCAGGTGTTGAGATGGCTTGTTCTGCTGGAAGCATGTGATCTTTAGATCTTTTTTCATTTGCAGTTTATATTGTAGGTTACATCAGTTTATTTCAAATATTGTAACATTCAAAATGAATAAACAAACTTCAACTTAACCTCATTCATTGTGGACTTTAATGAACACTACAATGGAACCTTGTTACCAAACAAATTAGCATTACAAACTTCCCAGTGGGCCCTAGAAGTGACTAAGGACTTCACTATGTTTTTAATGGTCACTGCATAGTACATTTCGATGGAGTACACACAAACACTCAGCTTTATTTTCACACAAATGTATAAAAACACATTTACCTTCACCTTGTTGTCATTCCCAAGAGTTTGCAGCACTTTGAGATTGATCTCTTCAGCTTCTGTGGTAATAAAAATGTGTCAGTTTCTGTATTTGTTTGTGTATGTATGTGTGTTTTTCAGCAAAGACATTTTTCATGTGTGTGTGTGAATATTACCTAGCCTGGTGGCTACAAAGAGTTTGGGAACACTTCGAGGGTAGCAGTCCTTCTGGCCCCTAAAGATCGCACTGGCTACAACCTTCTGTTCCAACTGCAGACAGTATGAAATGAGTTATGTTTATCCATGTATGTGTGTGTGTGTGTGTGTGTGTTTGTATGTATGAATGCAGTACCTGCTTCTTCCACTCTGGCTGGATTCTCCTGCAGTAGTCATTGACCAGGTTGTGAATGCACATCCTGTGAAGGTGCTCAGATGCCTGCAGGGGAAAACAAAGTTGTACATACACTACCATTCAGAATTTTGGGGGGATTTTTAAAAATGTTTTTGAAAGAAGTCTTTTATACAGTCTGTTATATAATTATAATATAAAATAACTGTTTGTATTCTAATATATTTTCAAATGTATTTAAAATATATTAGAGTATTTAAAATTTAAAATTTTCAGCACCATTACTCCAGTCTTCAGTGTCACATGATCCTTCAGAAATCATTCTAATATCCTGATTTGGTGCGCAAGAAACATCTCATTATTATCAATGTTGAAAAAATTATGTTTTTTGGTTTGTTTTATGTTTAGTTCAAATACATATATTTAACGCATCCTTGCTGAATAGTAAAAGGATTCATTTTGAACATTAGTGTAACCACAACTACATCCTCAAAACACTGATTTGTTCAATCTCCAGTTGGTCTGACCAAACAGAGCTCAGTGGTTCAATTTAGTATCATACCTTATCATACCTTTACCATATATTATTATCATACCTCAGTGAGTGAGGGTGGCGGTCTTGGCCAGCTCTTGTCAAGCACACTTTTTGGCAGATTTCGTTTCACTTTCATCAAGAAGGAGAATCTCACATGGTCCAAGAAGTACGCATTGTCAGGGCAACGAGGCTCATTGCGCAGGATGAAGCCTTTGATGAACCTGTGGAATTAAAGCAAGGACAAAATCAATGATTAAGGAAGGACGAAATCAATGACACAACCAATGTAACTCGTTCACCTACATGATACAAAAACTCTCATACTTGCGTATAGTGTCAGCTGCTTGTCTACGATGCATGGCTTTCCTTCGCCCTT